CGCCCGGCCAAATATGAATAAAGTCTTTATGAACATTGTGTGCATTTGGATTTAAAATATCCAAATTCTAGAAGTAATTTAGAATCGGTCAGATAATGGGCGTTCCAGGTAAACTGTTCATAGCAGAGCATTTATTTGCTGAGTGAAGGCTTTCAGACATTGCATGGCGTGACTTCTCCACTAGAGAGAGGCCGGCACGGTAGGGCCCCAGGGCCACGGCTGGTGAGTGGCTTACAGCTGGCCCTGTGGCCTGTTTTTGGCTGGCCCCCGAGCTAAGTGTAGCCTTTAGGTTTTTAAATGGCTAAAAATAAATGAAAGGAATTTTTGCATGGAAAGGCCTGAAATGCAGCTTTCAGTGTGCGCAGAGTGTGTGCTGGCTCGCAGCCTTGCTCGGTCGCGTGCTGATCGCGTGTGGCTGCTTCTGTGCTGTAGGCAGAGACTCGAGGGGTCGGGACAGAGACTGATGGCCCAGAAAGCAGGAACACCTACTGTCTGGCCCTTTCCTGGCAAAGCTTGCCGATGGCTGTTCTAGACCCTTCCAGAGACTTCCGCTATATCTTTTTCCCCACATAAAAGGTCCTTAGAGACCAAGGCATCTGAGTGTTCCCTGGAGGCAAGTGTCTTGGAGCTCCTGGTGGCTCTTCCGAAGTCTCAGCTCCACCTGGGAAAGCTGAAGGATCTCCCCCTCCCCTCTTCCCCTCCCCCTCCCCTGCCCCTTCCCTGCCCCCCACCCCTTCCCCTCCACCCCCTGCCCCTCCGACAGGCAGCAGGGAGACTGAGGGTGGAGTTTTCCTGCCTGTGTTGCAACAGTATTAGTCTACTGCTTGGGCATAAGCTAAGTATTAGTACTAATATTAATTAGTATTAATAATAAGTAGACTAATACTGAGTCCATGCTATGCTTGGCCAACCACGGACCTCCTGTTTTCCTTTAGCTTCCAATCATACCTATATCTTGTGTGTCTGTATCTTAATCCTTTTGTTTACTTTTCTTCGCTACATCCCTATAGATACGGTGTAGGGGGCGCAATGAGATGGGCTAAGGTGGGCAAAGGGGTCCAAGAGCACTGACGGGATCGCGCATTCATTCCTACCTGCAATAAATGTGTGTTGTACGAGATCAGCCATGGCCCCCACAGGCTCAGCACCCAGTGGGGCGGGGGCGGGGGGGGGGAGTAAAACATGTCACCAAGTTGCAACGGGATGATAGAAACACAGCAGGGGCCGCAACACGGATGAGAACTTGGTTTAAACTCTGCAGAGGTTGGGGTTCAGGACATGGGGTCAGGAAGGGCTTGGAGTGGGGTACACAGCCGGCCTGGGGCTTAAGGAGGGTGGTGATAAATCTCTGGCGTCCCAGGCAGAGAACCCTGAACGCGCAGTGTCAGTCACCAAGCCATAAAATAGCCACGTGCATTTGGAAAATTGGAATGTGTTTATCACTGCCAAAGAATGACATTCAAAACAGGGTGAGAAGGAAGAAAAAGGTGCCACCAGGAAGGGAGATGGGCACTTAGACGTGCAGAGACATCACGGGCCAGCCTAGTGTTTATTCTAGATGACGGGATGTCATCAAAACCTCTCAAGCTGGAGAGAAATGTTGTCTTGGTTCTGTTTGTAACCAGTTCTCCAAGTCTAGCTGAATATGTTTATTGCCCCTCAGTGATACATGGTTTCTTTTTATTTTTCTCTTTGAGACAGAGTCTCACTCTGTTGCCCGGGCTAGAGTGGCATGGTGTCAGCCCAGCTCACAGCAACCTCCAACTCCTGGGCTCAAGCGATCCTCCTGCCTCAGCCTCCTGAGTAGCTGGGACTACGGGCATGCACCATCATGCCTGGCTAATTTTTTCTATATATTTTTAGTTGTCCAGCTAATTTCTATTTTTTTTTTTTTTTTTTAGTAGAGACAGGACCTCGCTCTTGCTCAGCCTGGTCTCAAACTCCTGAGCTCAAATGATCCTCCTGCCTTGGCCTCCCAGAGTGCTAGGATTACAGGCGTGAACCACTGCGCCTGGCTGAAACATGGTTTCTTTATAGGGTGTAGAGTACATTGTCCCTGTCCATGAGTAATTGTTTTTGAGTTTGAAGATTGTCCTAATTCATTCCTTCATCAGATTATTCATTCAACGGATCTTTTATTGAGGGGCCTGCCTTGTGCTGGAGACTATTCTAGAGACTGAGGATGGAGCGGTGAATGTAACAGAACCTGGTGCCCACTGGGCAGCCGTGGCCTCCTGGCGACATAGAAGGTTTGGGGAGAGCCACCAGAGCCCATCTTTTGGTCGTACCTGATTTTTGGGGGAGGGGCACGATCATTCTGGCTCTATACTGTGTGGCCACAAAAAGTGGTTTCCATGTTGCACTTCTGTTTTTTTATTGGTCCAGAGGGTGTGATTGTGGCCACTTTTGATGAAAACAGCCTGAGCATGACTCAGACACATTGCACATAGGAGCTGAGTTCCACGGAAGGCGAATGCTCAGAGACAGGAGGAAGAGTTACCATGAGAACATAAACCGTCTTGTATTGAATCAGTGGCTTCCAGACATTTTTGGCTGTGGCTCATACAAAAGAAAATCTTTTGTTGATTTTGAATTAATTTTTTGAGACAAAAGTCTTGCTGTGTTGCACAGGCTAGAGTGTAGTGGCGTCATCATAGCTCACTGCAACCTCCAACTCCTGGGCTCAAGCGATCCTCCTGCCTCAGCCTCCCGAGTAGCTGGGACTATGGGGGCACATGCCACCATACCTGGTTAACTTTTTAAAAATTATTTTTTGCAGAGATGGGGTCTCGCTATGTTTCCTGGTCTGGTCTCTTAACTCCTGGCCTTAGGCAAGCCTCCTGCCTCAGCCTCCCAACGTGCTGGGATTACAGGTGTGAGCCACCATGCCCAGCCAGAAGACTATTTTATAAGCCAAAGTGTCACAAAATTCCCAAAGTGGTGCCCACTACTTCCTACTCTAGCCTGCTTTATTTACAAATGCTGGTAGAGATCCGCTCAGTGGATTTCACAGGCCACTGCTACTGCGTCGCCCCCTCCAGATTATGAACCATTGTACTACTGTGTTTCTCCTAAAATAAGACTGGGTCTTATATTTATTTTTCCTCAAGAAGACTCCCTAGGGCTTATTTTCAGGGGATGTGTGATTTTCCCCTCAAAGCCTCAGCTTGCAGCACGCACAGGATGGCCGGGACCTGACAGGGGAAGCCGACCTTGTTGGTGGGGCTGCCCGCACCTATCCAGTCACCTCTGGGACAATAGCTGTCATGATGGGGCAGATGAGAAGGGCTGCTCGTCTTTTTTACCGCTCCACAACGAAATGCGTGGGTTGTGCAGATGTGCTGCACAGCCATGCCCATCACTAGGGCTTATTTTCGGGGTAGGGCTTCTATTGTGCAAATGCCTAGAAATTGTGCCAGGGCTTATTTTATGGGTAGGTCTTATTTTTGGGGAAACACGGTAAATGGACCATTCCTTCAATGGGTTTTAAACTTCCTTTCATCTCACGGTGCTTTACTAAATACTTGTGGATGGATTGTTTCAACTTCTACTTGGCCTGTTAGAACCCTGGCCGCCGTGCCCAAATTGAGCCTTGGTATCATCAAGAAAAACCCAGCCAGGCACCCCCTATCTCTGCACACTTTGTCCCCCGAGATGACATGGGCTGACCTGTCAGAATAACTCCAGTTGGGCGTGAAATGGAGTCACGTGTGTCAGGGAGAAGCCACCTGCCTCACCTTCCTCGGAGAAGGTTGCACGCTGTCAGCACTGAATAAACGATCATGTCACGGCACCTTTGTTTGGACAAACCCACAGGTCTGAGCTTGTGTGGTGTGAAGTCCTTTACGGGTTTCTGACATGGGAGAGGAGGTGGGAAATGTTTGTCTTCTCTATTCTAATGGCATACAGGAGATTTAGTCGGAAAATCCAGGATTAGGAGAGAAAATGACAATCAAATACAAATCAAATCTTTTTTAGGGTTCACCCATCCCAGCGTGTGAATGCGTTTCGTGTTGTTTGTATTAGTGGACAACCTCGTTCTGCACTTTGCACTTGAACTGACCTTGGTTGCAACAGCTAGAATCTGGCAGACGAATTCCTTCCTTTGGACTCTTGCTTTCCATTCCAGCAGGGTGGTGTCCCTAGTTTTAATTCAAACAGCCCCTTGGGCAGAACAGCCTGGTGACCTTTTTAGGTGGACTGTCTCTTTCTCTTAAAAGTATACTGCTTGTTGGCTTCCTGTGGGTGCTTTGGAGAGAGTTTTCTGTTATCTCCAACTCTTAGACCCGAGGCCTTGTGGGTATTTATTAATAGCTTATTTGTGCATTCAGTAAGTACTTACTAAGCTCCAGCCTATGAGTAAGCTCTTGGATTGGCAAGCACACAGGTGAGCCCTTGCATAGCAGACTGAATGAGAAAAGAACCCACGAAGCCTGGACTGGTTGGTGAAAAAGAGAATAATAGTTGCGGGAAAGGAAAGGGGAAACTGAGGCATGGCCAGAGTGAAGGGCCAGAGCTTAGCGCAAGATGTGATGACACGCGTGGATGTGATGGGTTGGCCCTGGCTAGAGTAGAACACAGGTGTGTACGCCCAAAGCGAGTACATGCAGGGAAGGGTATGGGCAGTTTCTAGTCCATTCCCCCCAGTATTTTGATACATACATCTCCAGTCACCAAACATCCACGATCTCAGCGTAATGTTACCTCCTAATGTCTTGACAGTCTCTGCACCCATCATGATCTGTTTCCTTAGAAGTCATGGTTATACTTTCTTTTGTGCGGAAAACTCAGCTATAGTGGTTTCATGGAATAGTGTTTTGTCTAGGAATCTGGTGGGACCTCCTTAAGAAATCCAGGCCAGCCTATTTCTTCCACTGATGTAGAACAGGGAGCCTGTGGTTCTAAGTCTGTTTTGAGCAAGCAAAATAGTCATATCTTGTTGGGGAAATTGGTGTGTATTGTTTAGGAGTAGGTTTGGCTCAAGGATCAGAAAACCGAAATAACACTGGCTCAGGTAGTTTATTTCTCTTCCATGTGAAAGTCAGGTGGGTACTTTAGGCGGGGATGAAACCCGATGGCGTTAGGTCCTTCCATCTGGTTGTTCCACAGTGCATGGCCTCCACAGCTAAGTTCAACTCATGGTCCAAAATGGCAGCTCCAGCTCCAGCCATCACATCTGCATTCTAGTCAGCAGGAAGGAATAAAGGGTAAGAGAAGAACATGCCTTTTGCCTTGGTGAAGCTGTGCTTAGCAGCTTTACACACCACTTCTGCTTACATCCCATGGCCAAAACTCACCTGGCCACACCTGGGGTATGTGGCTTTTACTTTGGGTAGCTGTGTGCCCAGTTCCCTTAATACTGAGGACCCACTGGCAGTGGCATCTAGTCTTCCTATTCAGCTGCCTGGCAGCGTCCTCCCTCTCTGGAGCCCTAAAGATCACCTGTGATGTTGTAACCCACTCACTGGGGACATAACGCAGGTATCTCTGTAATGTGACAACATAGGAAAGAATCAGCTTAGAGCCAGGACTTAAATTCGGACCCCTTTTGGCTGTCAGTTGGTCACCCGATGTTTATTTAGGGCTGCTAGTAATGGAAGGCATCAGACCCAAGGTCTCAGAAGGGCAAACCTATTGGACAATGACTGTCATGTTGGGGTTGAGGAATGAGATGAGCTACTCTAGGAAAAGTCCCAAAGGTAGAGCGAGAAGGAAACCGGGAGTTCTGGAGGTGAAGGCGGCCCCTCCCCTCTGCTGATGCGCGTACGTTGTCTGCCTTCCGTCACCCACAGGGGACTCTTCTGCGTGACAACCCACGTGCCTGAGAGGCTCTGGTCTCCTCCGTGTCCTAGGAGTGAGTGCAGTGGCCAAGAGCCGGGCTCTCCAGTCAGACTGCGTGGGTTCAAAGCCTGAATGAGCCACTTAATACCTGGGACATCTCAGGTCTGATTTCCGAGCCTCCATCTCATCTATAAGCCGGGGTGGAAGGCAGTTTATGATGCTAGAAAACAGCACACTGCAGGACTGCCCGGAACCTGTGCTCAGCGTGACGCCTGGCCCCACGCAAGGATCTGCACATTTTAGCCATTATTACTTTTTTGAGACAGAGTCTCGCTTTGTTGCCCAGGCTAGAGTGAGTGCCGTGGCGTCAGCCTAGCTCACAGCAACCTCAAACTCCTGGGCTCAAGCGATCCTCCTGCCTCAGCCTCCCGAGTAGCTGGGACTACAGGCATGTGCCACCATGCCCGGCTAAGTTTTTCTATATATATTAGTTGGCCAATTAATTTCTATTTATAGTAGAGATGGGGTCTTGCTCTTGCTCAGGCTGGTTTAGAACTCCTAAGCTCAAGCAATCCTCCCGCCTCTGCCTTCCAGAGTGCTAGGATTACAGGCGTGAGCCACCGCGCCCGGCCCGTCTTGCGCTTTTGTGTTTAGTTTTCCATGACCTGTTTCCTTCTCTTGGCTTCTGTCATCCCTTGTCCCAGTGGGGGAGGGGAAGAATGTATTGGGGGGCCCAACACGGGGGCTTCAGGAAAGAGCAGAGATTGGGGTAGGGTAGCACAGGATGAGAGGAAGTGAGTTGACCCATTCCCAAATAAGGTAATAATTCCCAAGGGGCGAATAGGCTAGGGGAAAGGCATGTTGACTAAAAGAGGGAAAACCTAGCAGATCGAGTTTGTGAGTCTTGAGGCCATGGTGAAATGTAATACCTGTTAAAAACTTCAGAGAAATTAAATTTTTAACAGAATTAGAGCAAAGAACAATTCATGAATCGGGCAGCACACAGAACCAGGAGCTCAGATAGCTCTCTTCCCAGTAGTAGGAGCTGTGAGCTCTCATAGGCTCAACAGGAAGCAAAATCGAGAAATCCTCTAATTCACTACAGAAGGGCATTTGCCAGACTGGGGCATGGTCTGATCAGCTGACTGCTTGTGATTGGCTGAAGCCTGGCTATTTGTTACAAAAAGTGTAAGATGTTACTTTGTTTACATACCAATGTAGGTTGCAGTTTGCTGTGTAGGAACTCAGATGGACAGCCTCAGGCTAATGGCTTCCTGTTTATTTAATATAACAATCTTCCCTTTTGATCAGCCTCTCAATCTTCAGAGAGTGACCAAAATCTTTGGCATTGATGCCACTCTGTCACCATCGTAATGAATTTGCTTCATCTCGGTACAGAATTCACAAGTCCTGACGTCAGGTCAGTTGAATGACTTATGGTCTCCTTGTGGTTTTGTTGCTGTAACCACAGTGAGTGGCTGCCTATAACCCTTTAAGACTCTTGAAGAGGGGATACAGTATCCCAGGGATACCCCTATGATGACTATCAGAGACTGAAATACGTTCTTTGACCATTGCGCCCATGAACCAAACCAATTACAATCAGAGTTTCTACAATATCAGAGGTATTTATTCAAGTTCAGCAGGAGGCGAGAGCTGTCACACACACACTCCCCTGTCCAGCCACAAGATAGTCCAAGGCGATCCTCTTATCTTAACCAACTTTAGGAGGTAGTTTAGAGCAGTCTGTTGAGCAACAGTAGCCCTTGCAGTAATGTTTGACAGAGATTTCCAATTATAATGTCATTTACATCTATGCCAAGCCAGAGAAAGAACATTCTATCAAAAGATGCCCATGTATACAGGGTTTTACACCTTCTGGAAAAATCTATTCTTTAGTGCAAATTAAGAGGTGCAGACTAATGTTTACTTTCCAATTGGTTATGGAGTGACAGTGAGACTGTTAGAATACCTAATCCACGTCAACCTCATTTCCCACATGTGGAGACATGGAGTGGCCAATGTATATGGCTGAAAATTAAATTATCCACAGATACAAAGTATGTATCTTTTTTTTAATGACATAGAGCTAGAAAAAATAGATCTTGGAGGGGCAAAACAGTTCCCTGTGGGATGCCTTGTGCATCAGGGGTCACTGGTAGGGAAGCTCTAGTCCTATGTATCCAGGGCTCCAGTATTGAATAATTACATGGTTGGAGGATACTACAGAATTAGGGTTATGAATTTGTCTACCAAGTGTTATTTTCCCCTTTGGTTTTCTTGTTTAGTTTCTGGCATAATTTAACTGTGAGACTCTCACGCTTGGTTTTTCCTACTCTTAGATGTAAACAAGGCATGTGAAATACATGAATCCAAAAGCCTAACCCTATAGCAGGCATCCTCAAACTACGGCCCATGGGCCACATGCCGCCCACCTAGGACATTTATCCGGCCGGCCAGGAGTTTTTGCCACAGCTGCCTGTCCTGCTTAGCAGCCGACTGGTCCTGGGCCCACAGTGCGCACTCTCCAATTGTCTGAGGGACAGTGAACTGGCCCCCTGTTTAAAAAGTTTGAGGACCCCTGCCCTATAGAAAGGACCAGATGTGCAATTTGAATATCACACTTGGACTATCAGTGAAAATATTTTAGGGTGAACTAGATCTCTAGGATCATGCAGGGATTTAGGTTTAACATGACATAGCAGCCTTCGGTTTAGCTTCCTGCAGAAGCTGTCAGTTGTAAATGCTAATGATGGCATTATCTTGCTATGTGTAAACAGATGCCACAGGGAAAGGGGGAAAGGAGCAAAGGTTTCATGATGTGACAGAGGAGAAGCCTTGATCTGTGATCTTGGGAAAACAGTCCACATCTAGGATATTGTCTTCTGATGAGAAACCTCACCGGTCAGTTTTACTTTGAAGTTTCCAATGGGTGTAGTCCCCCGTGTCTGGAGGGGCCCTCTTGAGGGATATGGACTCAAAGTACTGAAGTTTTGCCTTATCAGAGGTCATGAGAACTTGATACGGTCCCTTCCAACAGAGTTCAAGGGCACTCTTTCTCTGGTGGTGTTTCGAAAAGAATCAATCTTTGGGTTCTAGATCAGGAAAGGTCTTTTTGTCATCAGATGATGGGCCACAAAGACCTTTATTTACCTGGTGCAAATATATCTTGGCATAATGTACTTGCACTATTAAGTCCTATCAGTTTATAATAGCAGAATATATAAAGTTTTATTATTAGGGGTAGGTATAGGTCTTTGGTAATTATTTCATAAGGGGTCAATCTGTGTTTTCCAGTAGAAGCAGATGTGATTGCCAACAAGGCAAATGGTAAATGCTTCTGGTCAAAGCATTTGCTACTGTGTTTGTAACATCTTATTTTACTGGACAAATTATAAACCAGTTAAATAAGTATCTCTATCACTAGAAATTTCTCTAGGAATGCCCCATAATGGGAACACAGTTCTGAATAACCTTTCAGCTACTGTTACAGCACTGACCTTCTCTGCCTGGCAAAGCTTCTATCTAGCCAGAGTGAATGATGTTCTTATAACAACACTGTGAAATCCCACAGAGGGTAGCAATTCAATGAAATCCATCTGTAAGTGTTCACATGGTCCGGCACGTGGTAGAAATGTATATATCTGAGGCCTTTTCTGTCTTATTAGCATTATGGGTTTGACAGATACAGCATTGGTTATAGACCATTGTAGCAATTTTTAGAACAGCAGCATACCAATATTTTTTTTAATAATTTACATCATTTTACTCCATGATGAGTTACGGAGTATAGCACTTTTAATAACGGGGCTTTAAAGACTCAGGAAGGACCAGGTAGTCACCTGGGCCCTCCATGAGTTCATGCTTAACATTTAAGTTAAATCCTTTTAAATGTCAGCTTAGTTTCTCCAATTCAGGTGTATAGTACTGTTTATTAAATAAGTTATCAAAGGGAATTAAACCAATCTTAGGGAGTTCATTCAAATTTCATAAATATGTCAGTACTTGCAGACTTAGTGTTAAAATTCATCAAGGGTTTTCCTTGATATTCAATAAATTCTTGTTCTATTTCAGTTTTATGCACCAATGTTTTTCTTCATTACAGTTCCAGAAATTCTTACCCAGTCCAATGGTGATCTTAAAGACAAAACACTAGGTTTATAGTTGGTTGCAATAGCATTCAGGAAAGTACCAGAGTAAAAAAAAAAACAGGAATGAAAAGACTGAAAAGGGCCATGGTTAAAGATCTGATGAGAATTCATTATAATGCAATTGACAAGGAAATTTCAGCAGCATACAATATTTTTAAATAATAACCAGAATTATGACTGATAGGGTTATAACAGGACTATCAGATTTCAAGAAATTTCATACCATTTCTGAAAGACATTAACATACTGTG